AAAGATTTTGTTGAAAGATTGTAACAAAACTATGATCTGAGCTCGCACCTCACGACAATCTCAGATCTGAGCTCACACCTCAGATATGAGGTTGATGAGCCTATTTCTCTGATAGCATGTTAGAATTTTCAGAATACTACAGAGAACTCTATTAAATTGATTAATTAAGAATATACACGACCCAATATAAATATATGGCCAGTAACAGTTAAAAGATAAATCCCAATGGATAAGTATAGACACCACCCAATCTTGTAAAGAGATATGTATCCATACAAATACATATCCATGCTGATATATATTAGTATGATACATATCCATATCCATATGTTCCACCACCTAATCTTATCAAGAGATATCTATCCATACATAAGAAAATCCAATATGTATCAGTATGATACATATCCATATCTATATGTTAACAGGGCACACCGTTATATTTGGAAAATGGTTCGATAGGGATCAAAATAAGTAAATCCTCACTTTATAACTCATCCAAAATTGCAAGTCAAGCATTGGAAAACCTTTACAGTGATCATCTCGACTTGAACACTATGGCCGTGGAAAAAATTATGATTTCAAACCTAAAAATAGTGTATATTGTAACAAAATATCTATACTGTCCATTTTACTTTTAAAATAAGTATTCACAGATCCACAAGATCTGTATGATTTACTGAGTTTCAAATTTTATTGTCGGTGTTGGATATTGATTTTAGAGCCATCATAGAGATTTTTGTCACTAAAAGTACTTTATGGATGAGGATTTGAGTTGAGGTTTGTTTCGTTTTCGTAAAACCTCGGCCTTATAGAAACCTCATCCTTTAGATTTTGCTTGGAGACGTAGTTTCGATATTGGAAACCTTATCATTATTATCATCATCAGAGCATTTTTCTAACTATTTGGGGTTGACTATACGAATCCTGATCTGTCATTCTGGTCTATCAAGGGTCATACCCTTAGCGAGGCTATAAATCCCTATATCTTTTCTTGTTACTTCTAATCATGCGCTTTTGGGCCTACCTTTAGTCTTTTCTGAGCCTTTCACTTGAACCAACTCGCACCTCTTAACATGTGCTGTACAGGGTTTGCGCTACACACGACCAACCTACCTAAGTCTACCTTATCTCATCTGTCGCCTATTGCAGTCATACCTAAGTTTTCTTAAATATATTCATCTCGAATTCTATCTTTTCGTGTCTTGCAACTCATTTATCTCAATATCCTCATTTTATAGATATGTTGTTTCTTGACTCATCCACATTCTGCCCCATAATGTAAAGCTAGTCTCACAGTTGTCCTATAGAACTTCTTCTTCAGTTTTATTAGTAATGACCATCACATAAAACTAGGGTTGCTCATCTCCACTTCACCCACCCAACTTTAATTCTATGTGTAACATTTTCCTCAATCTCTCCAATTTCATGGATTATCAACACAAGGTATCAAAAGTGCGCTCTTTTTAGTATTTCTTGGTCGTCAATCTTAACTACTTCCTCATAACTACTCATATTATTACTAAACTATTGGAAACCTTATGTTATGTTAAAAATCTATTTTCATCCCAAATTGTGTAATTTAAACTTTAAAAAATAGTGTAGATCGAACAACGCTATAAACACTTGAAAATCTTAAAAATAGACGATCCATATAACTTGTCATACGATGCGCTAGTTTTAAGACTTAATTTTGTTTTTGCTTTCTTGATCTCTATATATCTCATGATTGAGATAATCAATTGGAAGGTTTTTTAATGTCAAAAACCCATGTTGGAAAAACTAGGCGATCTAATCGGTAACCGCCTAATTAGATTGGAACTGGCTACTATTGATTCCGATTAAGGGCGGTGTTTTGATCGACCGGTATTTTTAAAAAAATAATTCAAAAAAATGTATATAAAATCTCAAAAATAAGGAATTTGATTAGTAATACAATTTTTAATATTCTTTATGTTATGGTAAAGATTAGAAATTGGTTTGGTCATTAATACTCACTTTCATATTTTTTTGAAAATTTTAAAAAATACCCTTAAGTACCTTTAAAGTTCATTTTTTTTTACTAATTTTCAACTTCATTTGAATGTGTTTTGTTTTAATCATTCTTTATATGCTTTTCATATTTTAGTAGATTTTTTTTTTATCTATTTTATTTTTACAACAATTGTTTGTCAGCTGCGACTTGTCCAGTTAGAACAATTGAATCGGCTAGTTTACTGGTTAGGCCGGTTAAACAACTTCCGGCCCCATGTCCGGTTAACCGTTCCGGTTCGATTTTTGAACATTGGTCAAAACACTCTTTTCTAAACTTAAGGTGCATGTTACTTCAATAGTGTAAGGTTGATGCTTATATAAACTTTTTGATTTTAGATTATGAAAATTTGAGATTGTACTTTGCAGGTGCATCGGTTATATACTCCATACACAACATATAATGGGAAATGATGGTGTAGGGTCACTAGCCTACATATGAGTCCAACGGCTCAGATATTCAATCTAGGTCAATCTGACGGTCACAACCTCATTTCGTATTTTAATTTTTTTTTTTTTACAAATCCAAATCACGTGAAATTTTAGGCGTCTATTCTTCTCATCAAGACATACCTAATAAAACATTAAAAAAATAATTTGTAAAATATAAATTAATTAAAATACCCCAGAAAAGTTTCAAGGGTATTTTGATCAATTTATTTTGCATGAAATATTTTTTTGATATTTTTATTAGATTCTTCTATTTTCAAAGAACGCATACCCAAAATTTCAAATGATTTAGATTTATAGAAAAAATTAAAATTAAAATACAAAATACAATCGTGATCATTGAATCGACCTAGATTGAATATAAGCCGTTGGGTTCACATGTAGTTATAAGCTAGTCGGCCATCATTTCCCATATATAATATAAGGGTATGGTTTTGTGCAACAATTATATCAATAAATAAGGAAAAGTGTTTTGCGAGTAGACTCACTACCCCACTAACTTACAAACGTTCATCTTTACGAACCCCATTGGATTCCTATCCAATGGATAGAAAAAAAATTAGAAAAATTGTTTCCAAATTTTATTTGATCTTATTTTACTTTTAATATTCATGATGATCATAGTGTAGATCATGGATCTCTATAAATTTGGATTCAAGATCTATATAAAAAAGAGGTGTTAGAGGGACCCCATGAGAATAGTATGAGTTGGGGACTCATAAAACTCGAGTCCATAAATAAATAACTTTACAAATAAATATAGCCAAAATATTTCATGCTCCTGTAAGAGTATACCATCCGTTTACTCCATTGGGAAGACTCAATCTAAAATTTGAGGATGTAACTCTTCAACCCATGGACTAACATCAATAAATAAAAATTTGAAATTGCACTCTCTATACACTTGATAGAAATATTGTTTCAAGATAGAACTAAGACCGTCTTTCATGGTGAAATCTAAACGTTACAAAAACTCAAAATTTAAAATTTCTTTCTTTTGAAAATAACCATCTAGTAATTCTTGATTTCTCAAAAAAACAAATCTAGTAATTCTTGGGTAGTTTTCAAATTTTCCAACTGAATTGTCTTCCCAAGTACATCTTTTGACCATGGGAGTAAGTGTGCACATTCATCCTCTTAGTCCCAAAAACCAATCTGAGAAAAAAAAAAAAAACTTATACCCTAGGTGAAAATGGGTTACTGTCAAAAAATAAATCCGAACTATTCAATTGGTGGGCATTGAGATCTAGAATGTTAAGAACTCCAAAACAACCATTTTTTATTATTATTTAGAATTGTCCCAATATATATATAAGGATGCAGTTGGCATACAGATGCATCCTTAAGTGTAGAGGTAAGGTGCA